CAAAAAAAAAAAAAAAAATGCCAGTAGTCAATTTTGATTTAAGTAAAATTCAACTGCATATGGTCTGTGCTCTTTAAATATTTATCTTAAAACTCATGAATATTAACATTAAATGCTTTATTCTGCTATAATTCTACATAAATAAAACACGTTTAAATATGATGAATGCTATCAAAATCTGAGAGAATTATTCTAGGTACTTTCGTCTTTAGGTACCCATTCATATAAAAATATATCCCTAAAATTATATAAATGGTTAAGTCAATGCTTATAAAAATGAGAAAATGAAGACTCTAAAAGTTCCAAGAACCATCCAAGGAGAAATGACATACAAAGACATTATTGAAAAGTCCCTGACAGAGATGAAATCACTTATTTTAGCCTGGGACTTATTTTGCTTTTGAGTGAGCAATACTATAATTAGTAGGTTGTGAGTATGACAGTCATCTAAATGTACTGTTTATTTTTCATCTATTCCCTTGTCTGATAAATTTTGTTTTAAAATGTCCTAACTAATATCCCTGACATTAATTTTTCACTTATAAAGTAACCTATCTCAAAGCTATGTATTATTCTTCATTTTTTCATACTAATGGATCTGAATGAATCCCCACTTTATTCTTATTATATTTTTTACTCTACACTAAATAATTTCTCCTCTTTTCTCTAAAATTTCCCCTGATTGCTGTCCTGACAAATTATTCATTAAACATCGTAAGTCAAGTTATTCATTATTTACCTCTAGAGACTCTCACTGACTTCTGTATATATGTGTAATACATGCATATTACAGAAATAAAGGGCCTTGTACATGTAAAATGAATTTTAGGTTTTGTTTTCCTTCACTCTTCTATTATTTAAGTGGGTTCTTTTGGCCCCATTATTTCCTAAAAGTATTCTGCATATTTTATTTCCTGTCTAGTATTTCATCCAATCTGTAAAAAAAAAAAAAAAAAAAAAAATTGACACAGTTTATTATGGGCAGATTATAAGATTTAAGTAATTATCCTTATCTACTTTTTGTCATTTTAACTAAGATTATAAAATTACCCAAATATCAAATTTAGCTGCTTTTTGCATGGGAAAATTTTTCTTATCTCAAGTAAATGTGAGGAGTGCATTCTCATGCATCCCCAGCTAAAATATCATATAGGTCCAAGAAGTCATTCCAATTACAACTGCTGTCTTGTTACATGAGTTGGGTGAGTTTTGCTTATTAATCTACACTGGGTTTCAAATAATTTGCAGACAACAGTGCTGACTTGGCACACAAGTACTTGACTAGAGAAAATAAAAAAAAAAACCAAAAACCTAACTTATGGAATGGAAATAGTAAAAAAATCTTTACAAATGAGTGACCTACAGTGCTTAGATATCAGGATGTGATGGCTGTGAACATGTCTGTGAACTAGTCTGAAGAACATAGACAACAGATTTTAAAACACTCCAGTGGCCTAGGGAAATAGCTCAGAGTCAGAATCCTTGCTTAGCATGCATAAGGCCCTGTGTTTGATTGTTAGCACTGAAAAATTTAAGAAAGGCTAAATAATTTACTTATTTTTAAAATTGATTTTTTGTTCCAGAGGAAGTAGAATTTATCTTGTTTAGGATTATAAGTACAATTACAATATTGAGATCATCATGATCACTCAGAATACTAAGTGATACAAATACCTGCGGAATCCTTCAAATTTGTTTTATAAGTATTTAAATATTTTAACCACAAAATCTATCTCCACCTCTGCCTCTAAAGAAGAGTTAATAAACGAAAGCAGTCCAACCCAGTAAAACCATCAGAATACATTTCATCGTGCTGCTGCACTGACAGAATGGAATACTTGTGAAAGTAGATTTCATATACCATCTGAGTTGGACAAGAATGGGGAACACAAACATCTGTTCTGTCAGTCAAAGGTTGTGGCACTGTAGCAGGTTCAGATTGTAGATTCATTTATTAAAAGACCCCACTGGAGAAAAGAGCACTTCTGCTAATTATAATATACTTCAGGTGAAAAAAATTAATTCATGATAGTAACATATTTTTTAGAGTTAACGATGAGAAGACTTTAAGTTTCTTTAATAGTATTTTGAAACCCTTTCTCAGTGAGCATACTCACCCCATCTGGCCTGCCATCCGAAGCTGTGACAATCAGAATGTAGCGGTCCGTGCTTTCCCTGTCCAGTGCTTTCCCTAAGGTTAGAATCCCTGTACTAGTAGCACAGAAACAAAAAAGACACAGAGAGATATTATGTCATGAACAATGAGTCTTATTACTTCAGCAAAATACTCTAGATAGTGCTTCTCTTTTCCCTCTAGGAAATTGTACTTTGAATATTTAAAATGTCTAAAACTAGCATTCAAATTGAAAATTATTTCTTAGCAGTCTCATAATATTTTGAGTCAAGAATGGTTTCTTACAAACAATTTTTATTATCTTCTCATTCATTATTTTATATGTTCATTATGAAAATAAAAATCACTTAAATTTTATCATTGACAAATTCTATAAACACAAAGTTATTTTTCCTTCCTCATTTCAAAATAATGGAGGCTTCTTCTAAAAATTATAAAATACAGAGAATTTTAAATATTTTTATATTATGGCTTATATTATAATATTTATTTTAATAATCACATTCAAATATATATTTGTTCTCCAAAGAGGAATCAGGCTATTTTGCATTTTTTCTAATAAGATACAAATAACATTAATTTATATTAGTTTATACTTATAATATATAATTATATAATCTTTTTGTGTACACACTAACGATATTGTTGTGTTGTCACTTTTTAAAAATGTAGATGATTCTTAATTTAACCCACATAATGAAATATAAATAGCCTTTGGATAAATTCTTATACATAGAATATTTTACTACAACTACTTACTTTTTCACTGTCCAAAATAAATCCCAATTATTTAATATTTTATCATCCAATATAATTTTTCATAATAATTTTGTCTTTTACATTGCTCCCTAATACAAGTTCAGCTTGAATTTCTTATATTTTACAATCTGACATTGCACATGACATTTTTATTAAGCCCTAATAAGCATCTACTGTGATGGAAAGTTTACCTTAATATAATGAAACATTAACATATTTATCAGGTATAAAAACAAATTTGTTTCTGATTAATAAAAAGGTTTCATTTTACTGTAAATACTTTTATTGTCAGAGTGGAATTTACAGAATTCATATGCTGTGCTATAACTGAGTATAGAAAATTACAGGTAATGAATCAAAATCAGAATCACAGTAACTCTATTTGTTTTATTTTGGTGTTCTTCTTGACTTTAGACTTTAAAAAGAGTTCTAAACATATGGTATGACTATGAAAAACTGACTTTGCTTTTTGTACATCTTAAAAAGTTTTGTCAAAATAACTGAAAACAAATTCCCAGAGTATGTGCAAAATAATCAGGTTTAGATCAATTCCCTACAGCACAGATGTTTCATATAATCTCGTTCTACAGTGACATTAAAAAAAAAAAGATTATTGCTTCTAATGCTTTCTTGCAAGGAACTTACAAAATAGGAAATAGGAAATCTGAAAACCTAGCCATAATACAATTAAAGAGAGAAACTCGAATTATCATTTTCCTTCTCTCCCTCTGTTTAAAGTATCTATTACTACATCTATATTTCTGCTCTATAGTTCTCCTTGCATATTAAATTAAAGATTACCATCCATCTATACAACAGTCCTATTTAGGGCCATATTTTCTATGAACAGCTAATTTTTTCATGGTGTAGTGATTATGATTGAGACAGTTCATTGCTAAAACGATGTATATTTTCAGACCCAATGTTGTAGGAAGTTGAGTAGGTGAATGATGCACTTCAGAGTTGGAACAAAAAACAAGTAATGACCTTGGTATTTATAACTGAAGGGATATTTTATTAGCACATATTAGAATCCTTTCATACAATCTCTGAAATAACTTTCAAGGATTCTAACTGCCAGGTACTTGAAGGCTATTAGGCCAACCAAGTACACTGGGTTGTATTTAGGGATGCTACAAACTTTGTAAGTTTTCCCATTAAAAATTTATAAGCCTCATTTCTGATGAAGCATCAATAATAGTGCTACTTTAATTCCAGAGGGCTGAAAATATATTGCATCAGAAGGATGTCATGAAAGTGGAGAAGTAGCTCCAAAAGATGGTCTTACCATAAAAATATCAAAAAATCAAAATTAAGCAAGTAGAGTCAGACAAAATTTGGGGGAACTCTGAAAAACAGCCAAAAGTTTGTAGAAACTAAACAAACTCAGAATGAAGAAAAAGTTAACTTAAGTGAGAGAAAAGGTCAATGGCATTTTTATTTGATTTGCCTAACTAGCTCTTGAAAAAAGTAGTCAGCATTCTCCATATGACACCTGGTCACTGTTTCTGAAGGAAGCAGAGCTATACTTATTCACTAAGAATTTTGATCCTTTAATCTGCCTTCACTACCTAAAGAAATGACACATAGCACTTCACTTTTTTTCACTGAACTTAGAACTCATCCATTCAAGGTAGAAAAGTAGTAGGCATTCTTTAAAAACATTGTATAACAAGGAAAAAGCCATAGCCACTTGAAGCAAAAGATTAAGGTTACGGCATATAACAGGTGTGAAGATCTTAGTATGAGAACCTGGGAAGAGAGTTTCTTGGGAAATAAGAGCATTCAGCAGTGCATTGGGGAATAGATAAAAATGGGTAAAGAGTCAAAAAATATACCCATACATCTATGATCAATTGATTTTCAATAAAAATGTCAAAACTATTCAATAGGAAAAGAATAGTCCTACAGACAAATTATGCCATGATTACTGAACATCAATTGACTTACGAAAAAACTTCTAGATTACTTCATAGAATATACAGAGATTAAGTCAAAATGGGTCAACAGCCAAAATCAATGAAATGAAACGACCACAACAAAAACCCTCTTAGATGGGAACAGAGCTGCGACATCAGATTTGCCAAAGATTTTTATATATATCAAATGCACAAAAAAGCAAAGGGAAATTATACATACATGATTATATAAAATTATTATAATTTTGTGCATCAAAGGACATTACCAAGAAAGTGTAAAACATATGGAACAGGAAAGAATATATTTGCAAACAATACAGCCAATAAGCATCTCATTTTCAGAATAAATAAAGGAAACTTTCAATAAACAAACACAATTAAATAAAAAAAATAGGCAAATGACTTGAATAGACTTTTCCAAAGATGATATATAACTAATCAAAAAGGACATCGAGGGCTGGGGATTTAGCTCAGTGGTTTTGCCGCCTGCTGCGCAAGTGCAAGGACCCCAGTTCAATCCCCAGTACCAAAAAAAAAAAAAAAAAAGGACATTGAAAGATGTTTAAAATCTCCAATATTCATCAAAGACATGCAAATCAAAGCCATAATTAAGGATCATGTCATACCACTGATTTATCATGCACATTAATTTTTTAAATTTTTGTCATTTTTAGATTTTTATTTACATTAATCAGATTAATTAGATTTTTATATACATTAATCCAAATTAAAGGATGGTGTTTAGTTTCATCTTCAATGTGTCTGTAACACACCTTGCCTTACAGGATTCTCTTGGAATGAACAGCCAAATGCTAAATTAGTCTTTGTTGAAATGTCCTAGTCATTATGAATGCCTGAAAACTTTAAAGACATCTAATTAAACCCAGGTTCTGTCTGCAAATGAAATATTTCTACCTCAGTGGATTTCACTTAGTAAAAAGGTTTTTGTTTTTTTTTTTTTTAAAAAAAAAAAGTCTCCTGGGCAAGATTTCTGGGTTCAAAATTATTCTCCCAGCTCTCATTAATATTCGTAGGAAAAAAGTATAATAAAACTACAAACAGCTGAATGCCTCTGATTAGAAGTCTGTTTCCTTGCTAATAGTACATTGTTTAACATAAAAAAGAGAGAAAAGTAAAGTTATAAATCTCTTAATTTTTAACTTACGTTTCTGAAAGATTAAAAACTCGCTGAGGATCTCCATTCTTGATGGCATATGTTATTGGGTCTCCTTCTCGATCTGTTGCCTTCAGAGAGAAAATGTAATTTAATTACCAAGGAATTTATAAACACTTGAAACTAATAGCACAGAATATATCATATTCTTCATTCAGATCAAAATATGGTCTAAAGCAGGCATAGTGGCACATGCTTGTAATCTCAGCATTTTGGAGGCTGAGGCAGGAGGATTGTCTTGAGTTCAGGACCACATAGGCTACATAGTGAGTTCAAAGCCAGTCTGGACTACATAGTGAGACCCTGACTCAAAAAACAAAATAAAATAGATAAGGTCAAATGGTAAAGATGAAGAATAAAGTATTTAGTATTTCTGAATGTACACAAAATCTTAAGTGGAAAGTTCAGGAATTCAGTAATTTCAGTAAATTCAGTAATTTTTTACCTAAACTTTTCTCATGGGATTTAATTTACATAACTTAATTATTCTATTTTACATGAGTATATCTTTACAATGTATACCAATGTGTTAAAAGCTGCATAAATAGTGTCAAGAAATTATTTAGTACTTTACTGTTGGCCTAAAACACATTAAGATATTATTCAAGTCATTAATGCATTGTGATTAAGAATCCGGAGTCTGGAGCCAAAGAGCCTGAATTCAAAATTAAGCTTCACTTATCAATTATATGATTATTTTTCAATTTCTTCATTTACAAAATGAGGACTATAACAATATAAGTGTTTATAGATGCTGGGGAATTTATTAAAATAAAAATATGTCAAGGTACATGGACAAACATCTGGTACAGTGTAGGCTTTCCATAAAAGTTAAATTTGGTCAGTGTTTTCTTTCTTCCCACACTGAAGTGAGAAAAGACAAAACTCATAACTTCCAGCGTTAATTTCTGGGTTTCTTTTGTCCATTACAAAGATACACACCCAGCTTTGTGGCACTGTAGTTCAGTGTTTGACCTTCAACAGTGTTCAATAATTTTCTTTTTAAATGAGCCATTGAATTCCCTTATGGAAGTTATTTATGGAAAAATAAAATATAGATGATATATGAGAGACTGAAAGGGATTTGTCTAAGTATGACTGTAGGGAGAGGGGAAATATCCCATAACAGCCTAAATGGATTTTATTTATGTTATGGGCCAGACAAATACCAGCCAGATTGGTAATACCAGATTGGTATTACCTGGTGTTATCAGGACACAGGAAAAGAGATAGTTGTATGGATTCCTTTCAGTGATTAGATGATAACTGTCCCAGACAATCATGTACCAGTAGTAAATCAATGTCCAACTGGGTAGGGAGGCACTGTTTATGGTGGTAGATTAGATGATTTTGACATGGACTACAGGAGCCCTGGTCAAGGAACTTCCCTGTAAGTTGTCACAATGGATTGACAGCCAGAAGCCTCTAAAACCTCAAGGATTTGGGGACAACTGAATAATAAAAATTGTTAATAATAAACTATTAAATATAACTATGTATCTGGCCTGGGATTTAGCTCAGTGTTTCTGCCACCTGACTTGAAATTGCAAGGTCCCAAGTTCCATCCCCAGTACTCCTCTTGCAATTCCCAACCTGGCTTGCAATACAAAAAAAACAAAACAAAAAACAAAAGAAAACAAAAAACTATGTATCAGTTTCCATGAAAAAATAAAGCTTTGTAGGGCTATTTGATCTGTGCCACACACAAGTGTCTTCTCTGTGAACTACTTCCTTCCCATTGCTTCCGTGTACCATACTCTCCTGGCACTGTATGCTGCAGGGCTGACCACATGCTCTCATTTTCCTTTGCTGATGTTTCATCACTTACGAATTGGGTTTTTTTGCTAGGTTGCTTCAAATGTTGGTCCTTGGACTAAACATATTTTGTCATTTCATTCAAGTGTGTAGATTTAAATGTCATTGTTAGGCTGAAGATTCCCGTATTTATATCCTTTTTTTCTTTTTTTGGTACCGGGGATTGAACTCTGGTCCTTGGGCTTGCGGAGCAGGCGGCGAAACCACTGAGCTAAATCCCTGGCCTCATATTTATATCTTTAAACCAGTCCTTTCCTCTGAATTTCAAACTTAAATTCAGCTACCTATTGAATAGCTCAGTGAACAAAGAATATCCAATAATTCAAGTAATTCAATTTGAAATATTAAAATGTCCAAGTCCTGCTCCTTCTCCAAGCATGCCCAATGTCAAAAAATAAACAAAACTGCAAGCAACAAGAATTTCTTGTTTTTATTGCCTCATCTCAATAAATAGCTGCAACTTCATCCTTCTATTTTCTCAGGCCTTGTATGTTTAGTTTGACCATTTATTCTCATTCCTCAATCCAACCCAGCAGCAAATTCTATTGCATCAAACTAAAATATTGTTTTCCTTGGCTGTGTTTAAACTCTTTCCCTACTTTTGTCATGGACTGCAGTACCAACCACTCTAGCAGATCTGCTTTTTCTCTTGCATTCTTACTACAATCAATTTTTCCTTAAGCAGACAAAATTATCTTCATTTTCAGGCTAAAATATTATTTATTTTCTAGTTGAGAGCTCTTGCACAAACACATACAGAGAGAAACGCAGAGAAATAGAATAAAATAGTAAAATGCAAGGAAATAATATAATATAGAATTTTTTTCCTTTAATCTATTTTATTTGGTATTATTTTTGTATTAGCTTTTCAATCATCATCTGGAATGAACAGGTAGAGTAACATTAAGCTCTGATAACACATAGTCACTAGTACATATAAATCAGGTACAAGGTAATTTTCATCTACAGAGGTATAATACAGTACAGCTCTACAACCATATGACTGGAGGATGCAAATAAAAAGATATTGTTTGAGACTTTATTCTTTTGTTTGAGACTTTATTTTTTTTTTCCAAAGGGGGGCCAAAGGATGATATGATATCTCTCTAAAGAAACACAGTTCCTTCCAAAGGATTTCCTTTCATCAGTGGCACTGCTCTAAGTACTTATTTTCTTTGTGAACATTAGCTAAAGACTATTTTTGAAAAGCCAGTAACAAATCAAAACAAAGCAATAACAACATAACCATTGGATTCATACAAAGATGACTAACTGAAAGCAACCAAGACACAGCAAACTACTATTTTACCAAAGCAGTCACGTTTGAATGGTGAGGGCTTCACAGAAGAAAAGAGAAGCCAAGTAGTACTTGAGAAGTTCAGATCATACAACCAAAACAGCATTATTTGAAACAGAAGCAGTGCACAAACATTTCTCATCTGGATATGTTCAAGGATGCTACAAACAGTACTTAATCATCTGCTCATTCATCCAGGAAGAAAGGAAGATAAGTCACAACTGCACTTTGTATTTGACACAATTGAATCATTCCATTTGAAACTAATTTAAAAATTTTAAACTTTAGTAAGCTAATTATAATGGGAATAAGAGTAGAAAATAAGAAACAAAGAATATATTGAATTTATTCAATGGGACTGAGAGTAGATAATTAATATTTTCCCTTTGTTTTCTGTTCTTAACCAAAACCAATATAAAATGGAACTACAAATAAAGATATTTGACTAGCTTGTCAAAGAAACAAAACTGCTGTATTTAAAGCATATATTTTATCACTAAAACATTTACACAAAACATTTTCTATCTTTTCTTTATTAGTATTTTTACTTGTTCTACTGTTATAGATAAAATCCAGTTCTTTCTTTTTGTTCTTTGGAATGTAATTTTTTTCTTTAGAGTCAATTTATCATCTTATGTTTTCATAAAAGTCAGAGGAAATAGATTCTAAAGCAAGATGTCTTTGTGTAAACAATTATAAGTCTGGATTAATGTTTATTCTTTAAATTTATAAGAGCTACTCTAATATGTAGTATTTTCATATGATAAAAGCACAATAAATGTTGTGTAATTTTATTTATATGTCACTATTTTGTTTTGTTAGTGAATTCCAATATCTACGGTACCCTGAAATACTTCTTCAGATTCATTTGTCCATTTAAATACTCTGGCTTTTAAGAATTATGTGAATATCTTGTCTCCTTCATTTTTATGTGAGGATGTAACCATATACAATTTTTGAAGACCCAGGATTTAGAAGAAAATCCTTATTTGATTGTTTTCTTCCTTTATTCTATCTACCAATTCCTTATTGTTGTTTCAGACTCTGCAGCAAATGGTAGAGTAATTATGGAGGATTCATAATTTCTGAGTCAAAAAACTAACAGGGAGTTTTGTGATCTACATCAGTGTTTTGAAATCTGTTCAGTACACTCACTAGTACTTGTATTAAAAGCATATCTCTTGGGCTGGGGCCTACCTTGAAAGCGTAAGGACCAGAGTACAATCCAGGGTACAAAAAAAAAAAAAAAAAAAAAAATCTCTAATTGCTGATATCCAAAGGGGAGAAATACTGAATAAACAAAATCATTTGAAATATCAAAGGAGCAATAATTCTTCATATATTAAAATTTGAATATGTATGTATGTGTCTTAAACATACTTAAAAAATATTTTTAAAAATTTTGAGTCTAGCCAGACATTTAAAAATAACTGCTTATTATATCTCAGAAATTATGTTAAAGTTTTGCATACCATATCTTATTTAATCTTCACACTAGCTTTATTGGTAAATAGAAATTGCAGATGACTTTATATTACTGTTTCGGCCAGCACTGACTTAATTGGAATATATATCTTTATTTTTAATCTACAGATAGTAGTACCTGTTTCATTTTGGAAAGGAAAGCACAATGTTATTCAGTATTTTTCATAATGTAACAGAAATTTCTCCTCCTTGATGAAAAATGTTCCTATATATTTTTGATAAAGTCAAATCTGAGCTTGTCTTCAGGTTCTGAAAAAAGTGTGGAAGAAGTTTTCCTCATTATCACAAAGAATTATGGGAGGTTCTGGAGACAGTGCTGAGATTCTAGCCCTGGCTGAACCATCAATTCTTAGGCATAGCACCTGCTGATACAATATTACTTCAAAAGTTTCATGTATTCAGAGGCTGGACTCTTGACTGGATCACAGGACTTCTATTCTCTTCAATAGATTAAGGAGGCGGGGCCCAGTTGCAGGACATGGGTCACTGATGGTCCCCCCCCCGCCCCATTCTCCCCCTCCCCCTCCCTTCCCTCTCTCCTGGGTGCCTTGGATTGAGCATCTTTGCTCCACCATGACTCTGCAATCTTATGGTGGCAGCTGACCATGAACTGAAATTTCTAAAACTGTGAAGCAAAATAAATCTTTTGTCATTGAATTTGCATATGTTAAGTATGTGGTCCCAACACTGGAAAAGTGACTAATATAGTACCTGAGTGCAACATGAAGAAATTCAACAAATGTTTACTGAACTTCTACACCGTGTTTAACACTGAAGCTTCAGCAGTGAACAGCAAAGACAAAAATCTTGCTCTGGTACAGCTTATATTGTAGTGGGGGGGAAAGTTTAAACAGATTAAAATATTATTTTTGAGATATATATTTATGTATTTTTTCACTTCCTTAAAGGTGAAATTTTGGCATTGCTGGAAAAAAACTGACTGTAAGTCATGTGGTAAAGAACTATCAAGGCGGAGGGCACAGCTGGTGAAGAAACCTGCTCAGTGAACTTGAGGAGTAGCAAGGAGGTTAGTATGAATTATAAAGCATACCTAACACTGAGTGATGCTTTCTTTGGTTAATCAAGTAAAGGAATTTACTCAATGGTTTGGTAATGTATGTTTAAGACAAAGTTAGTCAAAGACAATATGTTTAAAACAAAGTCTTTAATTAAGGAATAAATAATACCTTTAGAAATCAAAGCTAACTACTGTTCCTAGTTGATTTAACCAGATCATTTAATGTATTTGAATTAGAATCACCAATTTTTCAGAACCAACAGAAACATAATTTTTTTTTATTCTAGCAAATTTAGTTCTTAGACACTGAAAAAGAAAAGAAAAATTAAAGTCTGAAAAAGAAAACAAATCTTTTCTAAACTAACATTCTCTTCATTTTAAAGATGAACACAGCCATCAAATACCATCTGGCAGAGTACACTTTATGCACGCAGAATGATTCTACACATTACACAGGACATTAAGACAAAGGACCAGCCCTTAGGGATTTTAGAACAGATAAAAATCAGTGATTTAGATGATCTTTTCTCACTTAGGCAAACAAGTTCTGATTTATGTTAGTAAACTACATGAGAACAAGAATTGAATCTTTCAGCTCAGAATAGCATTTTTTTCAAAACTGAATGTGTATGTGGTCTCCTGCTTTTAAAATGTCCATTTTTAAAAAATGAAATACAGTATTTTTGAATAAGTTTCAGTTTGAATAAAGATATACATTCCATTTATGTCAAGCAGTATTATTTTGTCATTTATGGTTCTTATATAAAGTTTCCTATTCAAAATTTTAAGTAAAAATGTCAACTTATTAAATATCTCAGAAATATAAAACAGGTATACAGTATGCAAAGATAAAATTTGAAAATATAGCTAAATATAGAAAGTCAAAATATAAATGTGCTTAAGACACAAGAATGTTGAAAATAGCACATGAGAAGACCACCACTATCCAAACACCTGTTTTCCTCCAATATTGTTATTTATTAATGATCTCTTGCTGAAGAAACCAAATGAAATGCTTTAGGCTATAAAAGCATAGCAGTCTTTGCTGACTGTGTTTGAAATGAATAGTGTTTAAAAATAAGTATGTTTATTTAGAAATAAATAGTGGTTACAAGTGAGTAGTATTACTTTTTGTACACAGGGAAGCTTCTATAAATCAGGAATGCCTAAAAAGAAAAATATTGAGACTTTGGACAGATTTAGGAACAGTCTGAAAATTCCAGTCTCAAAAGTTTTTGTTGTACAAAATTGATAATGTGTGGATACAGAGACATTTAATCCACTGTAAAATAAAAATTTTAATTTTGTATAAGACTGAAAGAACAACCAAGAAAATATATTTAAAAGTAACAGAAATATTAAAAATAACCCATTCAAATAATGATAGTTTTTGTCTCTTGAAATACATTAGGCACTAAATGTATCCCATCAAATATAATATTAAAAACATTTTTTCTAGTGATAACCATGATCCCTACTTTTTATTTGATAAAAAGCTTAAAAAGTTAAAGGATTTATCAAAGTATAAAAACTACTAAATATAGGATAATTCAAACTCTATTCCTTATGGAACTCATTTTCTGACATAAGCCTCCAATATCCTAAACTTTTCTCAATCACTTTCTTGCTTGAAACAAAATGAAGCTCTCCATGATAGTATAATTTTGTTATAACTTCAAAGTAACCTTCTTGTTCCTCATTGCTTTTTTCAGATCATTCTTCTGAAAATTCCTTAACCTTGACTCATATTCCTTAACCATGAGACTATATCAATTGCAAACTCTTCCTCGTTAATATCTTTATTTTTCACTATTTTCTATCCCTCCCATATTTTTTTCATTGTCAATTTCATTGTCTGTAACTATCAATCTAATCTAACCTCAAAGTTTAAATAGTACTTAAATGCTTGAGACTTCAAATTTTTATTTCTAGTCTATATGTTCACCAAACTTATACTCAACTGCCTACTCAGTTTGCTTCAGCTGGATAGTCTTTTAGTAACTTCAGGCTGCTATATAACAGACTACTATTTTTCATGCTTCTGGAGGCTAGAAAGTCCAAAATTAAGGCACTGATGGAGCTTGTATCTGGTTGAGGGACCTTTCCTGGTTTATGGACAGCTCTCTGCATATTGTATACACACATGGAAGAAAGCAAATATTTGTGGTTTCTTCATTGCCTATCAGGGAGCAAATGGTATTTATGAAGAGTCCAATTACCTTCTAAAGTTCCAACTCCAAATATCATCACATAAAAGATTTAACTTTCAACCTACAAAGCTCAATGGAGCAAGAACATTCAGTCTACCACAAATATCAAAAAGGCTTTTAAAATTGAACATGTTCGAATTTGAATTACTCTTCTCCTAGATATCTTTTTATTATGGCTAATAGCAATTCAATCTTTTCAGTTGCTCAGACTATAGTTTAGTAGCTCTATTAAAAGAGCTTTGCTCTTTTGTGTGAGTGAGGTATTTGTGAGTGGGCAAAACACAGAGATGAAAAGGACATCTTGCCTTTATTTTCTTTTAAAACTATCATTGGATTATGTGAATGTAGTTTTAAAAAAAGACATACAAAGAGATATTTAATTCCTTCACTTTCTTAACTCTTTGACTAAAAATATTTTTTTATTTTTGTATCTGAAATAGTTTTCTCAGTTGCAAATCAACTAATTCTGGCAATTAAATATAGAAACACCATAGGTGCTTCTCATGATCAACTGGGCCTCTTGTTACTCATATAAAACTGACACCTCTTAGGTGTTTGTTGACAGTTAACAGTAACACAATTGTTTCTATTTATCCAAATTTCAAGGAAATAGCAGTTGCATACTTAAGCTTTAAGCAGCAAGAGCTGACAGTTAAGTGAAGTGATAAATAGCTTCAAGATATGCAATAAACTAAAGTTTACTTAAATACAGCACAGTCAGAATCATTTATTGCCAAGTTACTAAAGGTAGTACTAATTACTGCTATGAAAATACTAGTAGCTATTACATAGTTGCCTAAACAAATATTCCACATTCAATCACTTACTTTATTCACTTATTCACTTACTTTAAAAAGAGAAGAATGGTTTAAATTCTGTTCAATTACAAAGGAAACGAAAAACAACAAAAGTTTTCTTTGTCAAGCAGGTTTAGCTATTGTAAGCTTTTCTTTGAATCATACAATGGTCATGCAGGAAACAAATGAAATCTCTCATTTTCACCTATAGTCATAAAATGTTCACAGGAGACCTTATTTCCACAAATATATCTTTAAATAAATATATATAATAAATGACTATTATTTAGAAAACTGGAAAGAATAAGTTTAAATTAGACATAGCAAAAATTTTAAAACATGGAAGCAAATAGGGAATGTCTATTTGAATTCTCTTTAGCTCAGAACTCCAAAATATAAATTCATCACTTATATGCAATTCTCTCATACAGTATTTATTTATAAATTCCATTAAAGATAAAGATCTCTCATTCCACTTTATTGCTCTAGGTAGCTTTTTTCCTCTAAACCCAGATTTCTGGATGTGGTTCTGTAGTACTGACTGCATTATTCTTTGCTATGGGGGCTGTCCTGAAAATATTGTTTGCAGTATTCTTGACCTCTACCTGCTGGTTGTCAGTAAGATTTGTTTTGTAATCAACCAAAATAACTAGAGATACTGCCAGATGTCTCCAGGAGAACATAATTAAACCTGGCTGAGATCCACTGATTTAAATCAATTTCAAAATGATTCATCTGGTACCTAGTCCAATTACAACAAAACAAAACAAAACAAAATACAAAGTTCTTGAAATTGAGACCATCAAATAAGATCCAGGACATATGTTCCCCGCAAGAACAGTTATTATAACCAGGTATTTGTTATTCTTTTAAAAACACATTCAATGTTTTCTGTAAACCCTTTCTGCTTTGCTGATTTGGCTTTTCAGGTAAGCGGAGTCAGAAAGTGTATTCAAGGCACAATTGCCAGTGCTTTGTACAACATTCACATTCCAAGTCACAAATCTGTAGGTAGCAATTTGGGAGGATAAAAACATAATTTTGATTAATATAAATTTAGAAGGCTCTTGAACATAGGAAACCAAGGGTTATAGTTCAGGAATTATTATGAAAGCTTGAAGAAAAACACCATTGCTGATTAAGTATTTAGGCTGAAGTTTTCTTGAGTGCCCTGAGAAAAGTTTTGTGTTTCATGATTTGAAAATGATTTAAGCTTGATATGCAATATAGTAAAACTCAAAACTTTTCCTAACATTCCAAACACTGATGTCACAGGGTTTACTTGTGATTTGAATATATTCTGTGCTGCTTACAGCAGTTTTAGGGACTGCCACTTGCCAGGGAGATAAATCATTTCAGGAAAATTTGGCTCTTATAAAAACTAAAAGCTGGATATGTTCTGGGATTTTTCCAAACGCAAATCCAAACATTTATAAAAATCATAATAAATATTTTTAAGGAAAATGTACGTATTATCCAAATTGTACAGCTATGAGTTATGTTTTATTATATTCATCGTGCACAGGCAAGAGCTGAACAGCTGAGGATATTTTGCTTGTTCCAGAACACACAATAATGCATTCTACAGGTGTGAGCATTCATTTGATTCTTCTCACTTTCAACACCACAGATTTTTTTTTTCTGATGCAGCAAAACATGCATGCTCAATGGCCCACTTTCATAACTTCTGCATTTTACAATAGCATCTATGTCTCAGTGTAGTGAAACAACAGCATGACTGTCCCAGTGGGCTGATTGTATCACTGAGGGCTCCAAAAAGTTATCCATCAATGGATGTGCTTTGAGGAATCTGTACATGGTGTGAAGAAAAGTTGCTAGCCTGTTCACAGGTTTCAGAGCACTCATGCGCATGTCACATAAGAAAGAGCCCAATGTCCCGCCAACATCTTCCCAAATAAATCTTGCTCTGATATACTCCATCCTGCATTTTTAAAATCTATGCCATCTCCTAACACACATATCTTAGTTAGAAAAGGACAGCAATAAATTGAAAAGGCATGCAATTACGGGGATATCAAGAATGGAGAAATGAATCTTCTTGAAACATATTCTTCCATTTATAAGAATACTCACAGGTTTTTAGGTTTTTAAGTTTTCTTTGTTCTTTCAAAGCAGAATTTATTGGATTTCATCACTTGAGTATTTTTTCTTTCACAAAACTTTATTCTTTCCTTTACCTCACTTTGAAGCTACATGACCCCAAATAGCTCATTTTAATTAATCAAGAGCAAGACTGATGTTGTCATGTCTAAATCTTACAGAGGCTTGCTCTAAGACTACTCAGAACTAAGCACTAGAGAGGGGATAAAAGAGCTGTAAACTGATGGCACCATTTCAAACCTTAGCTTTTGCTTTTTTTGAAATCAATTACCCTAGTAATTAGCAGATCTTTAGTGATTACATTGTATAAATTCAAGCACTGTTCTAATTACTGAATATAAACATTTAATAAAACAAAGTCAATGTGTTGGTAGATAGCAAATAGGAAAAAATGGCAGGGAACAGAGCAGTTGGAGTATAACAATTTTTAATAAGGCCATTTTACAAAGTAAAAAACAAGCCCAGGCTTTCAAGAAGGGAAGAAATAAGTTAGGTGAATGACTGGAAAATGAACATTTCAAGGAGTAGGAACCACAAATGAAAGGGCCCTCACGCAAGTAGCCACACAATGTGCATGGAGGCTTGTATGGTTGAAATAGAATCAGAGAGTGCAAGAAAAGTAGGAAAGGAGATCAGGTGGGTATTACAGGGATATTTGGTATTATCTTGGGTAATTTTGGAAGACATGGGATGATTTTCACAAAGAAGGGAAGTTATCTCAGGTAATTGTTTTTAAAGAATGACTTTGGGGTCTGATTAGCTGATCAGAGAGGTATACAAATGAAATCCAGAAGATAAACTCTTGTAACAATCTAAACAGACAATGATAGTGGCTAAAATCAGTGTGAAAACAGTGGGAGTGGAAAGAAATAGTGGAAATATCTTGAGACCAGGCAGATTTGTTGATTGGTTTGAAAAGAGTGGACTACAGGGAAAGAGAAAGCTCAAAGGACTTGAAAAGTTTAGACTTGAGAATTTGGAAAGGGAGGCCAACAGTTACTGTGTAGGGTGTAGGAAACCACAGGATGACTGACTGTTTTCTTTGGGAGAGGGGGATAAGTGTCAAGTGTTGATTGTGGGACATAGTAATTTTGAGATGCTGTGATAACTTTATGGTGCTCATCCCAAGGCTCCTTTAAGGAATGACACAAGGATCCCCTATGTTTTGGAGATGCGGCTTGCTGAGAGACTTCAACTGTCAGTTCTATGAAGAGAATGTCTCATCTGAAGAGAACCACCTTGCCCAAGGTTCAGCTGCTTTCTGAAGCAACTTGCATCTAATGCCTCATTGAAAGAAAGGTATAAAGGCCTTATCTCCTTCAGCCTCACTACTCTGAAGGGCAATCTCAGCTCCAGTTTCCATGGGGTCAGCTGAAGATTTAACTGGGATTACACCAAAAGCTCATTATCTCCCTAAATCTAATCCTCCTTCCTTTTTCTCCCTTCCATAGGAATTCATCCCAAAGTCACTTCCCCACACACTTAAAACACACTTCAACTGAATCTGTATCTCAAGATCTGCTCCCCTGGAAACACAGCCTATGACAATAAAAAGGGAATAATTATCTTACAGTTGGACATAGGTCTATACACTTTTAGGACCAAGAGTTACATTGGACATGTGAATCAGAAGTTCGCACATAACAATTGGAACTCATTTGATCAGTTTAAATACAGTAATTTAGGGGTGAATGTAAATAGGAAGACAAAGAAAAATCTGAGGAAATTGTGGTGTACTGGAAGTAAACCAAATAAGTCTCTGATAAAGAGAAAATTATCAGTTTTGTTACATTTTGCTGAGGAGTAGAATGAAAAGAGAGAATGGTTTGTCAATGGAATGGTTATTGAGGTTTCAAAGGTAGTCATTTTGTTGAATTAATCCAACTGAAATCCTGGTTAAAAAAAAATATATATATATATATATATATAGAGAGAGAGAGAGAGAGAGAGAGAGAGAGAGAGAGAGAGAGAAAGAAAACTAAGAAAAATGACTACAATTTTCTCCAGTCAGTCTGAAGAACAAATGTGAGAAGTCTTTTGCAGTGAAAGGAAGCAGAGAATTGGGGAAACAGCAAGAAGAGATCAAAGGAGACTTTGTTGTTGCTATAGTTTTAATTACAAGTTATCATAGCAGATTGAAACCCTGTGGAAATGATTAGATAGGGTAAAAATTTCTTATGATGCAGAAGACAAGAAGGCAATATTGGTTCTTGAAAAGACCACAGTTGACATCAGTAGGATCCTGTAGAGTGTGACCAGGGTTAGCACTAAGGCTTCAATGAAAATACGGAGCATGAGAGATGCTCAAAATAAAGCTCTTCTCTTTTCCACTGAATTTCCACCTCTGGCCTGAGGGACAGTCACAAATTCTCATGTAAGTACATCTGCCCAAACAGCCACAGGACCTCTGCTCTAAGTCATATTAGAAAATACTATTTTCACCTATTAATTTAAGTCTTAATTATTTTCAGAAAGAACTTGAAAATATGGCTTTATGTCTATATCTCAAGGTTTCTAAGCCATCTCTCCTCTTGAGTGGAAAATAAAATTCACCTATTCACTTAAGATATAAACTAGAAACAGAAATAAATCCTAGATCCATTAAAGCATTTAAGTCACAGCCTATGTATCTCCTAGGGTTAAATATTATATTTTTTATGTTTCTTTTCTGTTTAGAGAAGGAAGGAGCAAGAAAAAAATATTTAGGAGTTAATTATTTCAGTTGTTACCAACATTCATCTTTCTCTAACTTCCTTAACATTTCCCTGACGATGGCTATGAGCACATTATTGTCGGTGGAAACTTTACACAAGACTAAGTTATTCTTTGGGAAGGGGAAGGTACTTACATATGAAAAGAAAATACACAAACATATGTTTTCCTCACTGTTAACAGCTTTATATACTTCGAAGATGAAAAGTAATTCCTAGATAATACACATTCCATAGTGTCACAAGGGATTTTGTCCCATGGTGATCAAACTTTTTTAAACTTAAATCAAAATGTTGCTTTAAAGAACAAATATTTTCTCTATGAATGTCATTTAATTTTTTGTAAGGACCAAATGATTGGACTTTTTCTCTCCCATCTACTCCCCTATTAATTCAGTACAGAAGATAAATTATGGTTTAGAATTGCATAATCAATATCAGTGTCATGTATTTCAACAGGAAGACTTTTCTTATTCACATTTATCCAAAGCAAGATAACCTACTAAATTAGAATAAATCATACATTATATAATTAATATGTGAAATAAGAATCTTATAGTACAATCTGCAGTGTTCACTTATACAGTAACACCTTAAAGAACTAATATGCTCAGAGAGAAGCACCTTTGATCGCAGAAGAGTGAATCTCCAAATAAAGTATTGTATTCAAAGTGATTCCCTAATATAACTGATACTGTCAGTTCAGGAGTGAGATTCATGATCACTGTATCTGTACAGTAGTAAAACATTCATGAATCAAATTCCTGTATCATTTTTCAGAGCAAAAGTACATCCTAATTTATAAAAAAAGAAAAAGAAAGAAAAAGGAGAAAGACCCCCTGAAATTTCTAGAACATTTCAAAGATGTCAGAAAAACAAACCAGCACCCCTGACTGAACCTGTGAATGAACAGGGACATGCTATAAGACAGCTTTCATTTAATTCAAACAGTTCTGGAAAAGGATCAATTTTGTAGTGAGATTAAAGCAGTGGGAACTAAAAATAATAATAATTCCTTGAGGCTTCTAGGTTAAATTCTACAGCTTTTGGAGTTATTTTAAAAAAATGACTGGAAAGTATAAAAATGAAAAGAAAACACACATTGCAAACTGACAAAACATCTGTTTACCCTGATACCCAAGTAGTACACTGTTTTTTCATCAAGTAACCAGAGGTGGCCAATCCCCAACTTCTTGGTCTGCGTCTCACTTTTCTCTATTTCTCATGTTATTTGTCTCTGAGCCATTTAACCTGCTATTGTAGTTTCCAGCAAGGAGAAACCAGGAAAAGGAAAAAGAATCAAACTATCACAGCTAGCCCATTCACTGATAGATGGAACCAGAATTTTAAACCAGAGGGGATATATAGTTTTCCTAATGTCAAATAGACATTATCCATATAATACTTTTCATTGCTTTTGTAAAGAATCATGAAGCAAACATAAGAAAGTAAAATCAAGACTGATTTTTTATTTATTAGACAGAAAAGTAATGATCAGCCATCCAGGTAGATGTATTCTATTATTGAGAGAATTATTGGCTTGTCTGAGAAAAACTGAGGAACTAAGACAGTGATGGCAAACAGTTTAGAGATGAGGGCCCAAACTGCAACACAAAACCCACTTACTTATCACAAAGTGCCAACATTGCGATTAAACCTGGATACTGAGGTTTTAGTTTAGAAAAAACAACTCATACACTAACATCCTTTTTGTCTTAAAAGCCAAACAAATGACACACATTCCATAGGTTTTTCACCCTTGAACTAACCAAACCTCCATCACCAGGAAAGGAAGTACTGAATAATAGTAGTTAGTACATAGACCCTAAGGGCAGATGGCTTGCCTTGGTATTCAAAATCTGCACCAAGTTTTTATTAGACATTGAAAAAGTTACCTTACACTCTGATTAGGAACATTAAAGAAAAGGAAATTTCAAGTGGTTAGTGCAGTCTTATACACTACCCACAAGTGGGTATATGTAGTCTTGTCTTATAATAGTTCTTGATTAAAATCAGATATCAATGATGTCATTGTTAACATTGATTTCCTCCTCATCTGTATCTTGGGCTTCCAAAATATCATTTTATTTTCTAAATTGCAAGTGGCCAATTTTCTCAGTGGAATGTGTAAGAATCAAAAAGGGGTGAACATATTTTATGTAATGTATCCATTTCCAATTATTCTCTGACATTTCACTTTCTTGTTCATTATTCCAATTGCCCAGTACTTTCTTGCTCACTTTAAAAATCCCAGTTCTATTAGGGGTTTACAGAAAAGCAACAACATTGATTTTTCCTCATCCACAAAAAAGACAAAAATAACTACCCTTACTTTCTTTTTCATTTGAAGTACTATGTAGTTTACATTTTATCTCTTGTATTCTCCTCTTCCCAACCCCAACAAAAATCTCCATAGACAATAAGTTTAGTTTCCTAAACTTTTAATTTTTTTATATCCAAAGTATGATATTCTTTTATTTTATTTTAATAAATATTTCTTAAACTATATGACCTTGATAACTAATTTTTCTTTTGTGTTTAGCTAACTGATGTGAGATTCATCTTCAATACAGTTGAGTGTTTCACTAATTCACTTTAATACAATAAATGAATGCTAGGCTTTAGAAGCATAAATATATTTTTCTGCTTTTTTCCTTTCATATGTAGCTTTATCAGTTTTTGTAAAAGAAATAGTCATTTTGGTTATTGTTTTAAGTGATGTTCAATCATTGCTAAGGGTTAATGAAACATTTTGTGTGAAATGATGTAAAACATTTTGGGTTTTTTGCTCTATATATGGACTCTGAAAATTATTTTCTACTTTTTGTTGTTCTGTTTCATATTTTATTTGTATGACTGTTTTAACAAACCTGTAAAAGTATTAAAAAAATCTTTGCTTATCAGTACTTTTCATATGGTCTATAGTTTGTCAACTTGTGTTACATTCTACTTGCTCTTTATTTTATTTTTATATCAACACTGCGATATTTAAAGTAAATCATTATTTCCAGTGTTACTCATTTTCCAAAATAAGTCCATATGCCAAGGTAAATATAGAAGTGGTAGTAAAAGGGAGAGATATAAGACATGCTAAATCAAGGACTAATTACCACCACTTATTTTCCTATTAATTTGAATTTTTTACCTAAAAAAGATCACATTGTGTGCAGGTTGGGTCATACTTTTACTTTATTCCCCATATATGCATTTGTTGGCCATTTTTAAAGTTGTGTTTGAATATTCATTTGAATATTCACTGAATATTCATTGCCTCATCAGCAATAGGCGAGAGGGTCATATGAGTCAGTATCTGTCTCTAAGCATTCTTTTCATCAAGGTATGTGCTCACTACTAAGAACTATACATCATGACTGTCTGTAGAAGTATGAAAGGAACTAAGAATTTCATCTTAAATAATCCATGTTGAAAACAATGTCAAGACCTGAGAATAATACAAGCTGTTAAAATATAAGATGAATACTTAAAAAATTTATTACAGTAAAGGGCACATTATCAATGAATTCCCTCAAACACTCCCTCACTGGGAACATACTTATCTCAGCCTTCTTGTCACTTTCTAAAGCATTTCTGGGACTGCTCTTTTGTGAGTGTCATTAGTTATACTGTTGTGGCTGCTTTGAGTCTTGAATCTATTCAAAATGCTTACCTTTCATTCCAGTCATTTTGATTTTGGGGAAGAGTTAGAAGTCACATGGTACCAGGTTTTGTGAATAAGGTGGATAAGAGCATAACCATAATATTTTTTTTTAATTCTTTTATCGGTACATTTTAGGTATATGACACAATTACATTTCTCATTGGGAACTTGTACCTTTATATGATGCATCTTGGTTCTTATTTTTCCCCATTCCTAGCCCTCTCTTCACCCCCTACACCCTTCGCTATTTACAAAGACTTTATTTCCATTTTTTCCATTTCTCAGCATTTTTCCTTTCCCTTCTTTCCTTTCCCATGCCCCTCCCACTAGCCCTACCCCTTTGGAACTTTTCTTCCTATTTTAGATTATCGATTATTCATTCTAATCATTGGTACATTTTAGGTATACAATATAATGACA